GCCCGCATATACATACAGAGAGAGAATGGGTAGCCAAAAGTTTGCTGTTCTTCTTTGTGCAGATGACTCAGACTACGTAAAGAAAATCTATGGGGGGTATTTCGGGGTTTTCTTACGAATGCTGGAGGAAGAAGGTGAAACATGGGATATGTTCCGAGTATCGAATGGGGAATTTCCAGAAGATGAAAAGGTCGGAGAATACGACGGATTTGTGATCACAGGAAGCTGTAATGACGCTCATGGCAATGATCTTTGGATCCGTAAACTCTTGAATTTGCTCAAGAAATTGAATGGAATGAAAAAGAAAGTTTTGGGTATTTGCTTTGGTCATCAGGTAAGTTTTTTCCTTACAATTTAGTCCCTTTTCTTTCTTGGAGTGTTGAATTCGTGTCTTATGTGGAGCTGGCTGTCATATTTTGGAGGGTGTGGGGGGTAGGTGACTATGTGTCCTTTTCACGGTGCCAAAGGGGACATTTTTTTTCTTCAGTAATGGTGTTAACATCAATATAGTTGACTATATTTTAGGTTTAATTAAATGGATCACGTGGTTTTGCATTTGAGCCATATTCACATTTTCATTTTTATTCTTTTACTCATTTTCAACCACACATTCTTTAATAAAATGATATTTTTCATCACATCAATAATTTTTCCTTCTTTTTCAATCGAGTAATGCTATTCATCCCCACTGGGATTACAAATACAATTTAGGCGACTCTAAATAATATGTATCATTTAATGTCACATTAACGCCACCTAAACTGTGTTTGTAACCCCATTGAAGATGAATAAAATTACTCTTTTCAATCACATATTCACTATGACATCACAAAAAAAAAAAAAAAACATTCTTTCCATTTTAACATGCATTAAACACACTCTTAAATGAATTTATCATTTAATGCTAGCTACCAAAATTGGTTTTAGTACCAACGAGAATAAATAGCATTATTCATTTTTTGGCGTCTTTATATGTTTCATTCTTTAAATTAGTCGTTTAATTCCAATCTTCACATGGACCAGTATATTTTATTTGGAAAGCCGTCCATTTAACCAGTATATTTTATTTGGTAAAATAGATTAAACAAAACTTAAAAATAAATTAAATTAATTGTTATATAAATCTAGGTGCGTGTGTTTTGTTTGACATATTAAATATATATATTTCTAGAAACCTTGGATTTGATTGCGATGATACCACCTTTTTTTCACTTTGCAGTTATTATTTTTATAAGGGAAAATATCTCATGTTGAATAGAATTAGGTTGAATAGGACAACCGCTCCTAATTTAAATACGTATTTTAATCCGGACAACCATTTTAACGTGTTTTTTTTTCGAGAGAATGTGTAATTAAAATTACATTTTAATCCGGACAACCGCTCCATCTCAAAACGCAGTCGATCCCCATCAATTTACATTTCTTTGTTATGATGCAAAGTCGAGACGACAAGAATGCTTCAAATAGCACCATGTATAACCTATGCTTTTGTGTGAAAGGGTTGCTTTTTTTTGGTACTAGATATTGGGACGAGCTTTGGGAGGAAAGATTGGACGAGCAAGTTCAGGTTGGGATATCGGAATCACAAATATCTATTTACAACCATCGAAGACCTTCTCTTCTCTAAAAATGCCTGCTTCCCTATCTATCATTGAGTGCCACAGAGATGAGGTTCCTACAACCTTCTCGACTTTGAAATATTATTGCAATCATATCAAAATGATAAAACCTCACAGTTCTACGCTAATGAATTAGGTTTGGGAGCTACCTCCAAAAGCAGAGGTGATCGCATGGTCAAACAAAACTGGAATTGAAATGTTCCGGTATGGAGACCATTTTATGGGCATTCAAGGTCACCCTGAGTACACTAAGGACATCCTGTTGCACCTCATTGACCGGCTTCTCCACCGCGATTTCATTGAGGTAAAAATTTAAACCCCGAAAAGAATCCTGCATTTCAATTCTCTAATTCTTCACATTATTATACCTGAATGACTTTATGCATCTATAGGAGTCTCTTGCTGAAGAAGCCAAGTCTAAGTTGGAGGCTAATCAGCCAGACAAAGAGGCATGGAAGAAACTTTGCATTGGCTTCCTCAAAGGGAGATTGTGATGGAATCTTGGAATTGGGCAGTTTGGCAAGACATTTCTAATCAGGAAACCTTCTTGTTGTACTAGTATTTTTAAAACAATTTCAATTTGGTTACAAAATCTAGTTATCATACGAATCTGATGTTAAACGGGAAAGGAAACACATGGAACACTTCAATTTGCTAAAAAGCTTAGGGAAGACACTTTCAAATGTTTGACGAACATTTTATCTAAATATGACCTTTCAAGGCCTTCTATTTATTAGAGTGATGGCATGGAATAATCGACGAATGAAATTTGAAAAACATGTACATTGGCAACCACCAAGTCTACAGAATATTTTTATTCAAAATCTGGTCTACATATACAGAACAGAAAAGAAAGGCCCTTAGAATTGTATAATCGAAGCCAAACCAACAAGGTCGTACACCCAAGGGTGGGTTTTCAATAATCCCTCACACCTACTCAAATTGGATTAACTCGAACATGAATAAGAATCTACCTAAATACAATGGTAAAATGTT